CCTTCCCACACTCCCACCCTCTTCCTTCTCACCCCTCTCCCTCCATCCTCTCACCCCCTTCCTCCCCGTGCTGCACTTTATAAAGTTGAGCCGGCTCAGACCGACTGGGATTCTCATGCATGCCTCAAACACTGCAGCATGGAGAAAATTGATGAGCACGAAATATGTATCGTTACCGTGGTGCATTTTGTGACACGTGCAACCATTTACGTGGCGAAATACAGACTTTGGATGAGAATTTTTGAATTATTGTCCGAGCAGGGCTAATATTGACAGTCACATCGACACCCTTAAGGTCACAAGTTGGTCTGACCTGCTAACTTGGGTCAATTTGACCCAGCTTTTTTTTTTTTTTTTGTATAGAACAATCCAAATGGTTTGATCCAATTGACCCAAGTTAGTGGGTCAGTCCGATTTCTGACCTGGCATTTTTAAGGGTGTACCTAGCACATTCTTGTGGCATTTATATGGCAAATGGTTAAACCCAAAAACTCATATTGGCCTCCCCTGTCACTATGTTTGGGAAACTCTCATTTGAATGAAGCAGTCCAAATGACTTCAAACAAGTACAGTCAGTCGCTGTTACCTTTTGTCGGGTCCAAATCTTGACCCAAAGTGCTGGGCCAAATCCGCAACCCACTGCACTGAGTTTAACCCGTTTCAACCCCAATTTTTCCCAGACATTTAAAAGTCAAAATTGGTCATTGGTAGCCCTTTTAAGTAATCAGTAATAAAAATTTCTAGAGCCCTGTAAATTAAATCATTGTTGTCCTTCACAAATGTGACCGGTGGGATTAAATGGGTTAAGTAACCCAACATTGGCTTGCTCCCTTTTGGACTCAGTGTTGGGTTCGCCCTTTCACACAATTTGGGTTCCTCTTGACCCAGCAGTTTTGGGTGTAAATCTTCAATTCCAACTAATTTAACTCGCCGAAGGCCATTCATTATCCGAGGAAAATTTCTCTCAAAACAAATATCCAGAAGTCCTCGCTGTGTCAATAAATCAACCCGCATTTCTCGCAGCCGTAAAGCTTTCAATCCCTCCTGCAAAATGACCAAAATGCGTTAACCCGCTCTAGTTCTCAGTGGCTCAACTTTCTTACCGGCCTCGCAGGTCTTTCCAGGAATGTCCCCTAATACTGTAAAAATGGGCCCCCCGCCCCCTCCGCACACCACGCGTGCTTGTTTTGAGCACTCGGTCCACGCGTGGGCTTGTGTGCTCGGCCCATTTGTTTGGGAGAAGTAAAGTGGGAGTGTCAATCAGTGCTGACTGGAGCGGAGGAGGAGGAGGAGGAGGAAAAAGGAGGAGGGAGAAGCTCCATTACCAACACACGCTCACACACACCGGTTACATTTCACCGTGGAAACGCTGCAGGAGCGCCGGCAAAGTCTTCTCCACGGAGTGCGTGTGTATGTGTGTGTGTGAGTGTGTGTTTTGGTTTTAACATCACCTTTCTTTTGCCTTTCGTTCCAATTTGAAGGACCGTGGATGCGCACATCCGCACACTTTTTTGACTTCTCCACCGGGATCCATAAAGGGACTATCACATGTACTTTTTTTTCAACCCCCCCCATTTATGCGTGGATAAATCATCCTTGAGTGAAACGTGGTGATTTGCGGACCTTGGTGTGATTTTGTGTTTTGTTTCCCCTCTGCAGGGGGTCAGCAACTTGTCTCTTTCCCACCGGGAGTTCCTATACCCTTTTTTTTGTAGCACTTTTTTGGTGTTTTTTTTTTTTTTTAGAAGGTGGGGACAGGATTGTGGGTGCGAAAAGAGGCGAGACGACATGCCTCAGTTGTCAGGCGGCGGCGGCGGGGACCCGGAGCTGTGCGCCACGGACGAAATGATCCCGTTCAAGGACGAGGGGGAGCCTCACAAGGAGCAGATCTTCGCCGAGCTCAGCCACTCGGAGGAGGAGGGAGACCTGGCCGACATCAAGTCCTCGCTGGTCAACGAGTCTGAGGGAAGCCCCAACAGTAACAGCCACGATGTGAGTCACTTGGTCAGCCCAAAAACAAAAAACAAAAAAACGTGAGGCCTCCACCTCTGTTTCATTCATACAAAAATCATCCCTTCACCTGGCTTGAATTGGAAAAAATAAGACCGGCTCCGAAAAAGATGCACATTGTGTTCCAGGGCCCATTCGTAAATTCACAATCATTTTATATCATTGTGTGTTGTATAGTTGTATAAATGCGTGGGGTTTTCTTTTTTGACTTTTTTTTTTTTTTTGATGAGTCACAGTTGCTCAAGGGTTGCATTTTGCACAGCGGACCGGATGAAATGCTCTCTCAGGGCTGATTTGTGGCCCACGGGCCGTAAGTTATCCACCCCTGCATTATGCAATTTATTTTGTTGAAAGCATGTCTTTTGTTTTTGTTTTAATTTAGAAAATGACCAATAAATTGTCTCGATGTATAAAGGCCTTGCTAGGAGTCGGTTAATAAGGGGGTTGAAATGCCGTTGATTGGACAAAAAATAGCTTGTCATATTGATGTCAATCATGATGACAATCATATCAAGCCGAAGCATTCATTTGGAGGGTGTCATTAACAAAAAAAAAAAAAAAAAAAAAAGGATTCCTTTTTGAATATTTGAACATTTGCATTTTGCAACAAACTCGTAAAAGGCAAGCATCGCTACGGGAGGTGACGTCATGACAAATGTCAAACCAAATTTTACGATGCAGAATGAGCAGATGTAAATCTTGGACGCGCAATCTTATTGCAAGAACGCCTCGTCGTTGAATCTGGGGAAGGTGCTGCGCCAGTTGGATTGAAGAAGATGATTAAAATAATAATAATAATAATGATGATTTGTAATATTTGCAAAGATCTGCGGTATGTTGAACAAACATTTTAATTGTTGTAAATAATATTTGGAGTATTTTCTTCTCCATAAATGACATATTTTTCCTCATTTGAATTTTAAATAAAGTACACTATTAATTGAATGTGAAATATTTCCTAAATATTTAAACATTTCTAATAAATGTTTGATGCATATTTTTCCCCTCCAAGTAAAAAAAAAATGCAATATTTATAGTGTGCATTCAACATATTCAAAATTTGCTCGAGATATTTAGCAATTTTTTTTTAGATATGGCGTTTTTTTTCTGAATATTTGCTACATTTCTTTTCAGAATATTATCAAACTTGGATTTTTGCTCATCTTGTTTGCTAACCATCACAAGGCATCAATCTTCCTTGCGCGCACACACGCACACACACACACACACACACACACACACAGGTAGTGGTAGAACTAAAAAGTGAGGATGTTATTGGAATGTTGTGTCGTTAACCGCCGTGTTAATGAAATTTGGGGACCCCTGTCTGGCCTGAGACTGCGAAATGTTCAGAGACACGAGGCTGACGTGAAGTGAATCTTAATTAGGATGCACGAGAAGTTCCGTCTTGCACAGCTGGAAGCCATCCTGATGATGTGGGTGCGCGCGCGGGCGCGCGTGTTTGTGTGTGTGTGTGTGTGTGTGTGTGTGTGTGTGTGTGTGTGTGTGTAAGTGCGAGGGTGTATTCAGTGTTCTCATCAACCCAGACAAAAACTGGGTGTTTGAAATGCTTTTTTTTTTTGTAAAAAACAAAAATTCAATTTGTAAAAAAAAAAAAAAAAAAAAAATGATGACAGCCTCAATTGACGTATGATTGCCGTCTGGAATGAAAATGAGTGAGCTCATAGGAAAACAAGTTAATTTGTAAAAGCCCCTCAAGGCCATGCCGCCTTAATTAAGTGGGAGAGACGCTGATGTGTGTGTGTGTGTGTGTGTGTGTGTGTGTGGGGGGGGGGGCGCACCTTGTTGACAAGCAAACAAAAACCAAACGATAAAGAATCACATTCACTCCAGGCCGTGTTATTCTGCGGTCTTCTGACCACATCAGCAGCTCTGCGTGTCGAACGGCATCCGAAGGCCCTCCCAATCAATTCACCGCCATTCAATTTCTCCCCTCTTTTTTTTTTTTTCTGGCTTGTTTTTTCACTCAGGCGGCAAGACAGTCCCAAGACTCATATCACGAAAAGCACAGAGAGCATCCTGACGATGGTGAGTGACGCAAAAAGATTCCTTGCTCCTTCTTGTGCCAGGAATGGGAGACATGTTTTTTTGAATGCTTCGAAACAGCAGTCACTCTGCTTCCAAGGCCTTTCCAGAAAGAATACATGTTGTTCCATCTTCAGTTTTGAGCTATTTCAAAACACTAGTCCCCGTAGTCGATCATTAGAACTCTCAAAACTCACTCAGCCGCAAAGTAAAACAAACAAACAACCAAAAAAAAAACAGTTTATCCATTGGACCCAAATTTAGGTGGATATATCTGTCATACCAGGATGAAAAAAAAAAATCTCCAGCAGTGAATTGTGGATTGACCATTTCGGTTCAACGCTGCTTGCAGTTTTACTTACAGTGTCATTTTTTCCCCATCAAATGAATCGTCTCTTTAGGAGGGTCTAAACACACAAAGTTTTTGCAAGCGTGTGTGTCCTGGTGAAAATTTGTGTAATTTTGTGGTACCCAGCATAAGCCCCTCAAAACTCACTCAGTTGCACACCTACAAAGTTAAATTAAAAAAAGAAAGTTAGCCCTCACTACCAGTCTCACTGATTGACACGGAATGAGATGGACGTGTCTTTTGTAATACGATGCACGAAAAATGTCTCAAGGACATTATTATGATTTTTTTTCCATACAGATTCTTGCATTTCAATGTGTCCTAAAAGCTGCTTCAAACAACAACCAAATCAAACTCTAAACTCTTTTGATGAGTTATTGCAAAGAAAGCGAGGAAGTAGTGGATACAAGTGTAAAAATAAGTTAACCACTGTCAAACTAAAACAACCATACATTGCGTAGTTATTACGCCGTGACCGCCTCATATCGCTTTGTGTGCCAGTGAGGAGAATCACGTCGCAGTCAAGCTAAACTCAGCTAACTTTGAGGCAAAAAGTTTCATAGCGCTGTACTGAGCCGCCATGACAGGAATATTAATAATAACCATCATAATGATCATTAACTGTTATTCTATTGAAAAAAGAAGTTAGCTACTGTATATTGTTACCAGCGATTTAGGTAATGAGGAACCCAGCCAGGACAGAGATGCTACGCTATTGCTACAGAGCACTATAAGGGCCTCAACATGAATGAAAACTCAGTCTTTTGCAATCTTGAGAAAAATTTTGGTTTTTACTGTCTCCCCCGCTCCACCACCACCACACACACAAAAGTACAGGCATCGTAATTTTACTTCCACACAGGAAGGCCAGAACCTGAATTTGAACCGCCAACCTCTGACAAGCTTCTTTGCCCTTAAAATAGTTTCCCTCTTTTATGAACTTAGAGAGTGGTTGTACTGAGAAGAGTCAGCCATGTTACACTGAGGAGCCAGGACAAAAATGCTAAGCTAAAAAAATGATCCCCGCACACAAAATAGTTTTCCTCTTTTATGAACTTTCAGAGTTCTCATACAGAGAAGAAGAAAAGAAATCTTTGAGCATGCTACATGATGTTTAAGAGCTAGCTCGCGCTTGCTTGACGAATGCTATCATGTTACCCCAACCTTGCTCGTGTTGGAAGCTAACAAAAATGCTAATTTAGCTAATGATAAATGAAACATGAAAGCTATCTGTTATTTTCCTAGTTAGATGGAGAATTTTTGAATGCCAGAAGTTGGTGGTTCACATCGAATCAGTCTTGGAGTCAACAAAATAATAAAAAAATTAAAAAATCTTTCGCAAGCTTTCAAAAGATGATTTAAAACAAAGTACACAACATGGCTGCCGAGACATGGCCATAGATCGGAAATGTCTTACTGCCGGGTCCTCCGTGTCCTCCGTGGGTTTTTTTCCAGACCTGATCTCAAACCAGGAGTAGAACGTACACATATGTTTAAAATGAAAACAAAAAGAGTAAAAAGTAACGTAGAAATAAATACACCGTGTGCCATGATAAAAAGCCAAATCCACTTGTTGCCTTTCTGTGCAAAACTACAGACCAGAAGGCCGAAGCTCAGGTCTGAACCCAGAACTGCTGCACTGCGAGGCTGACATACTAACCACGACTTCCCTGCGTTACATTTTCAAGTCATTCTCTTCTCAATCTATCATCAGATGTGAACATTTTTTGATTGGACGGTCCCGTCTTCAAATTTAGATCAACCCAGCTGGTACCCGTCACGCGTTGGTCGCAATAAACGCCCCGTCGGGGTCACACGCGGGGGCGCCACTCGGGGACCTCGCGGGCCTATTGTGGCGTGACCTCCGCTTGGCGGGTCATCGCTGGGGCCTTTGAGGCGGAGTGTGCCTCCCCTTTGTTCCCCTTTCATGCCCCCACCCTTGCCCCCCTCCTCTCCGCTAACCCCATTCCTTCTCTCAAACCAAACACTGGTTTTCTTCACAACAAGATCCATGTTGCCGTCGGGCTAAATACCACAAACACACTCCCCCAGTGCCCCCACGCCCGCCCCTTGGCTTTATTACACAGTTGAGTGGCGAGTGGCGCTGAATTGAGTCCTCTTGAATCAAGCGCCGCCTCCTCCTCCTCCTCCTATTCTTGTTGTCGGGTCATCGAGGAACAGTTGGGGCGTCTCCTGTTTTGACACACTCTGTATGTTCTTCTAATTGGTGCTAATTGGCACAGAGGGGCTCCATTGTTCCCCCGCACATAATACAATTTAGTCGGAGTCCATTGTGAGGCCGCGGACAAAAGGCCGGGGAAAGAAATGGGCTGGTGGGTGAAAGCGATATTATTCGTCAGTGTGATTTATTGACAGAGGTGGGTCGAGAGACGATGCATTGACTTCATAACTTTTGGGATAAATCGTACTTGTCACAATAGTTTTGTCCAAAATGTGTTGGGGCCATGTTTTGGTTGGTTAGCAAGAATTTTGTCACACAACTCCTCGCCAATCCAATGTAACCACGAGCGACCAGTCACATGACGGCTCCAAATAGAAGCAAAGATTTATTGTTACTTAAAAAAAAAAAAAGCAAGTACAGTCGTTAGAATTTTGGTCATGCTCATATTGCTTCCACAGAATAAAGCACAATATCGAGAAACGTCACCATTCACAAAAATGCTGCAGAGAAAATATGTCTCAGTCAAAAAAATTATAATTATTTTGTGAATGTAGCGGACTCAGTACAGATATCTGAGACTTCTGTTTGAGCACAGGAACAGTGTTTGTTTAATGTGACATGACAAGGCTGCTCATTAATTAATTTATTTATTATTTTTTTTTTTTTTGAATCAGTGAAACATCAGGACCTGTACAGCAAAGGCCACGGATACTCAAGCTACCCCAGCTACATCATGATGGGCAACATGAACGACTCCTACATGACCAATGGCTCCCTCTCGCCTCCCATGCCCAGAACGGTCAGTACCAACTGAAATGCGGACTCTGCATGCAGGTGCCTCTTAATAAATTTGAATATCATGGGGATTTTATTTTGGTAGGCTCCCTGTAGTGGTAGGTGGAAAAAAATCACTTCATTAGATGTGCTTTTTTTTAATTCAGTCCAATACACCTGCAGTTCAGTTGTATTTAACTTTTACGTACATTTTTTGTCTTTTGTCTTTTTTTTTTTAACTGAATTAGCTTTTTTTTTTGTTTGTTTTTGCAAGCTCAGAATTAATTTTCAAACTGCACGTAATGTTACAATGTCTTGGAAAAAATAAATACACTTTTTAGGACCAAAACAGGAAGGCTTACGAAGCTACTGCATTTAACCCTTTGAGGCACAGCGGTTACTGCAGTGGACAGCTTATCATGTTGTCAGGTTACAGGGTGCATGAAAGGGTCAAATGTTGGTCATGATGGTGGTACTCGGAGAGCCGAGTATTTTTGAGGTGGTATTTGTTGTAAAATGTGGTTCCGGGGCCGAACTGTCGCCATCATCGTCATACTATATGTCAGAATTGAACAACGGTAGCTGTTATAAAAATGCGAAAATAAATTCATGACATTAGTGAAACAAAAATTACTAGGACAAAGACAGATAACACTTTCTTGAATGGTTTTACTGGTGTAAAAAGCAGTAAGCATTGTGATGGAATATATTCATTTTAGCCAAGAGCAATTAGCTAGCCTGTATGCTAACTTGACCAGTATGCGTATACTGTACTGGGTAAATGCTTTGCACCAGGGTGGAGGGATGGCTTAATCTCTCTCGGAATGTTCTGAACTTCTGTTTCGAGCAGATTGCCGAGGTCTGTGTGGCTTTAAGCCTTAGCTAGCTCTTCTTCTACAGCCTTCTCACTAGAAGGGAGTGAATCAGTGGCAAGTGCCGCACTCCATTTGGACTCACTCTAAATCATAAAAAGAGGCAAGAGACAAGCTTTTTGAGGCTGCTCATTCAAAAAAAAAAAAAAAAAAGCAATTGAAAGAGTTGAGGTTTCCCTCAAGAGGTATGAAGAGTCTGAAATTTAAATATGACAACTGTGTGATCATTGGCAACAGTATGACAGAGGCCGGTCTGTGCTGCAGTTGAGGAAGTCGTGTGGTCCAGGACCTGCGTCAACCCCACCTCCCCTCCAGCCCCTCACCGTCCTCCCCGTGTAATGGCCTAAATATCAGGCCAGCTGCAGATCCGTCACTGGCGGCTTCCTGTGTCCCCTCGCAGCTGTCCACACTAATGCTGTTATGTCCACGCGTGTCTCCGTATACCACCCGGGACGACTGGAAGCATTGCCACTGGCGTTTGGCACGTTATAGTGCAATATGACACAATGAATTGGATGTCTGTGTTTCTTTGAAGTTACTTGTGTCTTCATTCTTGGCATGATTTGACATTTGATAATTTTGAACTCATCCGGAGGCTAATCGTTGCTGCTGTGTGTAACGGTGACACACACTTAGTAAAATCAGAAGAAATTGCAGGTGGTCCCCGTATTACGATGATGCTGGCTGCTACGTTGTCTCTCTCTATATGTTTTTTTTGATACTATTCTTGCCGTTTTATCATTTATTGTAATATTTGTAATGTTACCACAATAAATGCAGATTTTAATTATTTTTTTTAGATAAAGGTCACAAAAAAAAAAAAAATCCCATCTCTACTGCAAAACTAGTTTTGTGTGTCAGCGAGGAGTGAAGTTCAGCCTGGGTTGTTAGTGGAAATTATCGAGCGTCTTCAAGGAACATTTTGTAAGATGAGTTTAAAATATGAAATGTGTTTTGAGATCATAGTTTGAGATATATTTACCGTTTGAAGTATTAATAGAGGCAATTCTAAATATAATTTGAGTGTCAGTTATGTGTTTTCGCTATTTGCCGAAGGGCATGCTTCGTACCTTTTCTGGGCGATTATGTTTACCCTACCTCAAGTTGACGTCATTTTCTTGATCTTCAGACGCCAAAGGAGTGGTATGAATCAACAGCGCCTCTAGTGGTAGCAGTTAAGCGGTGCACTCAATTTTGACTTGATTGCTTCAAAACGCAATTCATTTGACAATCCCATTCTCTGAACTGTAAAAAATAAAAACAAATAAAAAAAAAAAAACTTCTCTGAACTGTAAAAAAAAACAAACAAACAAAAAAAAAAAACGCTCCATCCACATGTGTCCAATCACATGGAAGCGCTTGAGGAAGTCTGCTTGAGAGTCACCAAAGGAAATTACCTTTCCCAGCAGACGTAATATACGAGGCCCAGCCGGGGCATACTCGCTGCCAATTTCTTTTTCTTTTTTTTTTTTATGTCTCGTTTTTTACAGTTCCTTTTCTCCCCCGAATATTCCTCTCTCGGATCCGTCTTGAATAAAACAGTAGTCATTTTTACCGCCTTTGTCTCAGCCGATGGCAGCGTCGCAGCCGCCGCGGTCGCCGCAGTATATCTGCGGGCCTGGGATCAGTTTTCACTCACATCAAAGGCTCCGTCTTTCTTTTCATTCCCCTCCATCGTCCTACCCCCCCCCTCCACCAACCCCCCCGTCACAGTCGTTTTGGATTGATTTCTATTCACCATGACATTCCTGCACACATGCCGTCCAGCCATGACAGAGCTGTCGGGAGCCGCTGATTGTCAGCAGATTTTTTTTATGTGGGTTTCTTTCTTTTTTTTTTTTTCTTTTTACACACGTTAAGTCGTCTTCTCTGCAAAAAAAAACCAAAACAAACGCTAGCGTACATAGACAACTAGAGAGCGGTCTTCCTCGTGATCGAATTGGCTTTGATTGGGATTCAGCTATGGAGATTCGGCTTGTCCTTCGTTGTTCAGCTGGGAAAATCTTTCGGTCAAATTGTTTCTCATAATCACAATAACACTTCTCATGACGATTTTCATCATCATCGTCATCATATGACGTACCTCACTTGATCAACGTTTGTCTTGGGTTTTCTTCCACTTTCTATTTAAGCGATTTCTTGATTCAGCAAATCTGAATTTGAAGTCAACATGATTCACAGTGAAGTCTTGCCACCGCTTTGATGAAGAAAATAATTCCCCGTGATGAATATAAATTGGCTCGATGAAATCCGAAACAAACACAGCAAAGTGTCAACTCGCCGCACTGTCTACACACCCACGTTTCTGTGCAAAACAGACTCCTGAACAGGTGATTTGTATTAGCATTTTTTTTTTTTTTTTGGCATGCCTTCACAGATGACGTGTGTACCGTTTGAGTCATATTCAACCTGCCAAACCTTCAGGATGTCATGACGGGCATAGGGAGGGAATCTGGCGTGTTGGCGGCTTTGAAGAGGATGTTTTTCGGAGTCGCCTAAACTCTAAATTGGGATTTCGAAATGACGGATTCTAAATAAAGACCGTGGAATGGATCTATTCCAGGAATAGTCTGCCGCCGTCATGTCCTGGCTCTGCCGCACAAAAACCACATGCACATGTTTAATTTTTGAAGAAAAAAAAAAAAAGAAAGAAAGAAAGAAAGAGAGAGCGGAAGTGTGCGTCTTCGCTTGACGTGCAGGTGATCTCCATCTGTGCTGGAGCAGCTTTAGGAGGAGAAAGGGTCGAGTCACTGAGTGTTGCAGCGGCGTTGCGGGTCGACGTTGCCGTTCAGACCATTTTCCTCTCGGAGAGAACAGTCTCTTTGCTATGTTGTTGTTGTTGTTGTTTCACATCTTGATGGTAATTTTAGGGTCACAGCCTTCTATCCATCAATTTTCCGATCACAAAGGTCGAGGGGCGTGCTGGAGCCTATCCCAGCCGTCTTTGGGAAGTAGGCGGGGGACACCCTGAGCCAGTTACCAGCCAATCGCAGGGCACACAGAGATGAACAACTATCCGCGCTCACACTCACACCTAGGGACAATTTAGAGTGTCTAGTCAGCCTGCCACACAAGGTTTTGGAATGCGGGAGGAAACCGGAGTACCCGGAGAAAAGCCACGCGGACTCGAACCCGATACCTCTGTACTGTTCGGTCGATGTGCTAACCACTGGACCACCGCTGGGCCCCCTGTGTGATACCGCTATTCCTAATTGGGGGGGTGTTATCGGCCAGTCCTGCAGTGTCACGCTGGTATTTTGTCACCCGATCGCCACCCTGTCCACAAAGTCAGATCAACGTTGACTGGACCAAACCGTCCGGTGGCAAACCGACCAAACGGTGGCCTGAGGGTACTCTCTCTCCCTCTCTTTCCAAAGCCGTGGAGTCTTTCGTCCTGTGAATGCTCAATTGCCTTGTGGCAAGGAAGATGGGGGGCTTTGGGTTGGGGGAGAGGGCGGGGGGCACGGGTGTTACAGTGCCCTCATATTTCCTTTTGATGTCGCGGGAATGTGACGGATCTAGCCAGGCAATGTCTCGCAGCGTGGAATCACTAACCCGGGCTTACCTAACCGGATTTGGTCGGACCGCTCGGGTGTCTTCGGCTCATGCCCTCAGCGCTACTGTGGAGGATCCCCGTTATCGGGATATTGAGAACACTGCCTTTACCAACAAGCATCCATGTACACGCTGGATGGACTTAAGAGCAACGGTCCTCGACCCACCAGTAACACGTCCGTGGGCCCAAAAAAACTAGTTTGTAGATCAGCGCAGTCTGAAAGAAGTTTTATCGTGGAAAATTCTGCTTCCACTTTTCAAACTGTCTACTTCAGTCATGTCGTATCGTTGAAAATAAGTCTTGAGAATGTAAATGTAGACATGGTAGATGATTGTCATGGGGAATATGAAGGCACCCCTGGAAAAATGTCTCCCTTTTAAGGGGGTCCCGGAACTCCAAGAGGCTGAGGAGCCCTTACTGGAGAGGGCAGCTTCCAAAGGTCTTCGGTATGCTTGGAGAAGCAGCTGGATCGCACGTGATCGTAAGCGCTCAGTAATTCTCCGGCTGGATGATCTCAATAAAGCAAGCGAGTCGCGGTGACATTGATGTCATCTGCAGTGCAGCTTTTACTGAGCGGCGTAAAGATGTGCGTTGGGC